TCAGACCAATGGTAGGCGGCCGACGATAAGCAACCAGTCTAAGCGATACATGACAAAAGAAATGTTTTCCACTAAAAATGATTTAATAACTTCACGAATTGTAATAAAATAAGTTAGTCTACTGTAAGAGCTCCATCTCAACAGATGTAAAAAATTATTTTTCTACACCCGTATTATAATAATGCACTTATATGCCCATAATCCGTTTCATAATGATACCCATTATGATACAGATTTTTCATTATGATACAGATTTTTAATCAATAGAAACCTACAATTTTTCAATCAAGCATGATGTTTGACGTTTGTCCTAAATTCCTATGTAATTGTTTTAGTTGTCAAAACGTATTAAATTTTCGTAGATAGCTAAATTTCGATAATTATAATATTAAAATGTCTGATATCAGCGATATAGAAGACTCCTCCACACATATCGGAGAAAGGAGAAAATGCAGTACAAAATATTTTGCCCCAAAAATCTGTGGTAATACCAATACCCAAGGTAATACCATTCATTACAATTTTGTAGAATTTTTTATAGAAATACGAGTAATTACTGTTATTGTGTTCAATGCCAATATAAATAGAATATTTATAGGTCTTGATTATTTATCGGGTGTAGAAAAAATAGCGTATGCAACTCTCATGTAATGGTTATTACATGATCGTTGCATAATATACTATTATATTGTATCACTATGTTTTAAATTTAATATTTCAATTTATAGTAGCCCAGTAGAGGCCAAAGTTGTGTAATAAGTGCAGTGTAAATTTATAATTTGATTAGAGTTAATAAAAAGCGCATTTAACGAGTGTTCGTTTTACTTATTACATAGTTTATGGAAGCTTGGAATTAGCCAATTCCCAATGGTTTTCTCGGAAGGTTGATGCTGGCCACGTCACTTAAATAGACGTCCAGACCCAGAAATGGAAATAAGCCGCCCTCCAATCTCTATTGTTTGACTATTAATGACAAAATTATGTCTGAACAAATTGAAAAATATACGACTAATTTAGCATAACTAGAAATAGGCGCTACTTTATTACGGTTGAGTTATATTTAATGAGAAAACTGTAACAACCAACTTGCCTAAAGACCATATGTAACTACTGATAGGTCTTTAGCTACCATTGTTAATATACTATTAAGGAATTAGGGCAGCGCCGTCACCAGCCAAAGGGTCCTGGAATCCTGAAGGAACATCCATTCACCAGTGGTAAATAAAATTAATAAAAAAATTAAATTAAAAGAATAAAAAAATCATCCCTCAATAGCATAGTCGAGCGGTTCTTGGCAACTAGTTTTAAACTCTTTCAGTCCTAAGGGAATAGAAACGCCGAGGCTTCTCAAATGCTTGAATTATTTTGCTGGTTTGAAAAGGGAGGAGAGATTAATAATAAGTATTAAAACATTAACAAATGTATATTAACAATATAAAATTTGACAAATAGTCTTAAGAAAAAATAAATAAAATTCCATTTAGGGAATAAAGCACTATAACTACATAGTAATATAAAGATATGCATAAGATAAATTTAATTCGGGACGAAAATGTAAAATTGGCATTTATATGTAAATCAATCAATCAATTATTATTAAACAAAACACTTTAAAATTAAGTTAAAATATTTACCCATAATTCACATCGTACACAAAACTTTACTTTACACATTACTTTACAATACAAAACGAGAGCTTTCGCCCCTGGGGCGAAAGTTTTGGACCTTAGTCCGAACTCGCCTGAGAGTTTACCCAAGTGATCCTTTCTTTCTGTCTCCTCTCTATATAAACCAAAATTTACGTGATGGTTGGTTGTATTTAAAAATATCACGCTCAATGTAGATTAATAACCTGAAGGTTTGTTTCATTTTCATACGTGTCTTTTTAATTATTTAATTTAAACATTAAATACTTATTTAGAATTTTTAGTAAATTCTTTAGATTTTTTCAAATAATAATAATGCCAATTATTACATTATTCTCCCGACAAAAAAAAATTGAACTACTTGTTCAATTCTGTTTAAAACCCTTGATGTAAATAATTTACAAAAATTTTCAAAACAATCTACAATAATATGATAACCTCACGCTTGCTTCACTGCACAAGTTGTGTCTTCTTTGGTCTTCTTAATTGGCTGGCCATAACTACCCTTTGCTTTCTGGCTGTCACCTCTCATCATCCCCTGATCCTTGACCTTCCTGGAATGGTCCCTTCCCGATCTGGTTTGGTCCTTGGGCTGCTGAACCTGGTAACCCTTTTGGCTAAGGTTACGGTTTCTTTCAGCTGCGGTAGTCTTTCCATTTTTCAATAGGCTCTGGCTTTGGACTGCTTCCCTGGCTTGCTACTGTGAGACTGCTACTGTACATGGCTGCTGTACACGGCTGCTACTGGTAGGTCCCTATTGACTCATTATTGGAAATGGCCTCTTTCATTGAACCTTAGTCCATTCCATATGAATTCTTTGGTCCCTTTTTTGCATTTGACTTCATCTTATTCCTGCTGTGGATTCGGCTTCCACAGACTCAAAATGGACCCAACATTATGTTAATCTCCCTTGGCGATATGATTTATGCCCTCTGAGAGCTTGGTGGTACTGGTTGGCCCTTGATTTTGGATTTAGATGTAGCAGTCTCTTTGTAGCCTTGGATTCTGGAGTCCTGGAATTCGGCCCATTCTCTGCCGTGGATCGTCGAATCGTGGAACTCTGGGGTCATTTGGTACGGTCCTGGATTTGAACTTCGTGAGCATCCTGGAAACGGTGCTGATGGTGACTCTGGCAAAGGTAGTACGGTGTTGACCTCTTCTTCTTTCTTCTTTTCCCTCTTCTTTTTTCTTTTTCTTCTTCTTGTGCAGTGGCAACATCTTTTGATTACTCCTATGACAAAATTATTATTTACATTTCAGGTTTACAAAAAAAAATTTATAATAATTTCCTTAATTACCCAAATTAAAAGCACATTTATAGTTACGAAAACAAATATGTTTTTATTATCTCGAAATAATTTATTTTTAATAAACTAGAAAAAATATTTTTTATTTATTATTAAATTGTAATTTACGAGTATTAAATTCCATAAATTGTAACTAGAATAATTATGTGTGGATTGTTTAATCCGAGAATAACCAATTTATGCGCTTTTTATTTTATGTCATCAAATTTCCAAAATTCTTGTGGAATCATACATTTTCTTACTCTTCTTTCGATGTAATTTTTTTGGAGAGGATAAGTGCCTCTTAATAAATATAGTCACATCCTTGAGTGGATACAGAAATCAAGTAATAAATTCAAATTTCATTTTATTAAATAAATTAGCGTACCTGAATTAATAAAAAAAAAACAAAGATAAATAGATGATAATTTAATATGTTTTAACTAAGTAGTTGTTTAAACAAAACATTGACATTAAAAATAATTGTAACAATAAACATTAGGGTCAAGTCAAAAATAGTATACAATTTTATTTATAATATTATATTTCTTTGTGTACAAAAAGTCAACATTTCAATAATAAAGAGAAAATTATTCAAAAGGAGAATTTTAATTCATTTGGAAATAACTATGATTGAATAAGAATTACGAAGGGAAAATATTTAAATAGGTTGATGATGTATAAGTATATCTATTTAGTTTAGATGATAAAGAATTTAAAGGTAAATGTTTTTACTGTTTACATAAATATTCGACATTGAACTATAATGAATTATAAATATTATATTACATTTTCGCTAAGTAATCATTTTAAAGTGCAGTGCTACCAGTTGTCGTAGGTCAGTATTATAGGTAAAGGTAGTTTAGTCACGTACAGCGTTAATGAAAAATTGGCATTTTTAAATAATAATAATGCCAATTATTACATTACTTCTGGAACCCTGTAACTTCAATTAATAAATACGCAAGAAAATAGATTTAAATTTCGAGTTATTTTGAAACGTTCCACAAGATATTAGCTTTGACTTTGACAATAAATATGTTTAATAGTAGCTTTTATTAAATATTACACCTATAATCAAGTATGCGAGTTGCTGTCAACATAATATGGGAATATAAAACATCATGCATGATAGTCGATATGATATAGTCAGAGAAAATAGTCAATTTATTTGGTTGTGATTGGTTCTAACGATAACGTAAAATGCAAAGTGATTGGACAAAACATCAAAGTTGACATGCGAGGAAAATAATCACCGGTATAAGTGGTAATTCTATAACAAGTGTATCAAAATTTAACGGACCTTAAAAATACAACGTATGTCAAAAATGAAAAGCAAGTCTCTAAAGAACTCCGCACCAAATACATGTGAAAATGTATCTCAGCCAAGTTTCATTATTTTCTGGTACCAGTTACTAGAAGTTATGTGCAAGTTTAAATTAGTTTCTCTAGCTACTGTGAGAGATATGATTTTAAATTTGAAAATCATAAAAATGTGTGTTATTACAAAACATGGGTCGCTCAGTACGCGCTCTAAGCGAGCACACCCTAGTTGAATTCCTATTGTGTATTGTTACGACCGTAACACTTGGCAAAATCTGGTAGTCAAAAGCACCAACAGATGGCACTAGTAGTACTTTTGAAATCGCAGTAAGAAATAAACATTCGTGATTCACCTCAGTAGTTCGAGAAAGTTCTGGTGTATTCTACTCACTTCGAGATAGCAGTAATTGGAGTATAAAAAGGCTAGTTGTACGACCGCAAGTCAGTCTGTCTAGGGAAGCAAAGGAAACGAAACTGTTTGTTGTAAAATAAAGTAGTGCATAACCGCGTTTAAAAGACATCTTGGAACCGACCAACGCTTTTACGTAACAGCATTTTGATTGGACTTGTTTTTGTGTGTGATTTACTAGTAAGGAAAAGAAGCAAAAAATAGACACTGAATGCAGAACATTCAAAGATCAATGAAACTTTTAATATTTCGTGATTGAGTCCAGTAATAAGGCGCTATGTTTGATTTTCAACAAAACCATAGCCGTTCTCAAAGAATATAACATTAAACGTCATTATGAAACGAAAAATTATCAAAATTACTCAAAATATAAAGTAAGTATGCTGACAGAAAAATTTGAAGCTTTGAAGCGCGGATTGAAATCGCAGCAATTTTTTTTTACAAAAGTCAATATTGAACAAGAGGCTGCAACTCGTGCCCGCTTTCGTGTGGCTCTTAAAATCGCAAAACGTGGAAAACCAAAGACATTAAAACTAAAAAAAAAAAAAAATTTGATGTGTCCTGTAACTATAATTTTATATTATATAAATAAAAATATGTTTTTAATCAAATTATTCTTTGAAGTTTTAATATAAGCTAAATTTTTTATTAAAAAATCAATATTAATCTAAACAAAATATTAGGGTTTCGAAGAACTTCGTAAATACAGCAACGCTGAATATCTTATTTTATGAATTTACAATTTTTATGAATGAAATGTAGTACCGTAACCAGCCGCAACGTTGCCAATCAGGTCTAACAGCTATTTTGTATTTCTGACAGTATCTGACAGTTTCTGTGTGACTTATCGATTTATTCATTTATAAAATACTATTTTTGTGAACTTTTGTGAGAAATATAAAGAATTATGGTACATGCATGTGTAGTGTTCAAAAAGGTAGATCATTTAAGTCGAAATGTATGGTTTCATCGGTAAGTATTTTTAGGTTAAGGTATGTTGTTTTCATTTGAACCAGTGGAGTAGGGCTTGTACAAGATTTGATACAATTTCTTATAGAATTTATATTATATTAAATTTTTCAGACAATTCACTGCAGGTTTGATAATATACAATTTAAATTGTACAAGAAATTGTATCAAAAACTTGTGTAGTCTAAAACAGTCTTAAAACAGTTTCTAAAGTGATATTCCTTTTATAAATTAGTAAATTTTTCTTATACCAATAAATAATTATTGAATAGTGGCAAAGAAAATTTATCATAAAATGTAGAATACCTTAAAAATGATTTACCTATTGAGCATCTATACATATTTTTTATTGCTCTATTTAGGTTCCCGCAAGATCCTGAGAAAAGAAAACTTTGGTTTTCTCTAATAGCAATCCTTGAAAATTAGCCCCTTCGTAAAAACCCAGAGTTATGTTTAGAACACTCTTTTTCTGAAAATGTTTTGGTACGCGCAAATGGTACTAGATATATTAGAAAAGATGCAAACTCCAGACGGTGTCAGGGCTTTCTATTTTTGGATGACTTATCCAACAGGTAAAAATACAAAATATTAATTTTTTGTTTACCTCTAAACATTATTTATTACCTATATGTATGTATATCTAATGTATGGGTTTTTAGTTCTGATTCAACTGTTTTTGAAACACCACCTGCTGCAAAAAGAAACGTTGCAATAAGTTATAACATTAATAACTAAGCATAAAAAAATTAAATGAAATTTTAGTTAATAAAATTAAAGTATTTTATATATTTAAAACATTATTTTAAAAATTTTTACAGTTTTTTTACGATATTGTTTTCCATACCATGTTTTTTTGTAATTATTAATTAAAAAATTATATATTTTTAGGACAGTGTTTTATTTAGATACCCCTACCTACTTAATGTTAATTTAAAATTTTAAATAATTTTGGTTAACATCATACCAGGCAAATATATAGTAAATGCCAATAAACTATAAACCAATAAATATTAAAAACCAAAGGTAACTTGAATTCGCTTGTATTTGAATTTACTTGTACTTGGATTTATCTACATGAAAAATCAGCAAGTATCATGCAAAACTATTTTCATATACTCTGAAGGCAATTCTCTCACCAGAAATCAAATCACGACTGGTGAAAGACTGTCTAGAAGACCTGACAGAGCTAAGTAGTTAAAATAAGGTGACCTTAGCCTGGGTTCCAGGCCATGAGGGATATCAGGGCAACGAAAAGGCCGACGAATTAGCCCGAGGAGGCTCAGATAAGGCCATGACAGGCCCCGGACCCTTCTGTGGAGTTGCTAAGGCATTGTGCAAGGCATCCATTAAACAATGGATGCAAACAGAGTCTAAGGAATGGTGGAACAACTAACTATCCAAGACTGAAACAGGCCAAACAGTTCATCAAGGAACCATCGGCCAAGTTCACGAAAGACCTACTGGATCAAAAGCGTCAAATCGTTAGGATAACAGTAGGCCTTCTACTGGACACTGTCGCCTCAAAAGGCACATGAGTGTTATAAATCCAGCAGAAGAAGCAACTTTGTGCAGGTTCTGTGAAGAAGAAGAGGAAACAATATTCCACGTCCTGGGCCAATGTGAATGCCTGGCTGGAACGAGGTTTCTAACATTGGGCGAAGAAAAGCCAATTGCATGCAACTACATGCGGGAGCCACTGTCAAAGCTACTAAGACTAATAAAAAAGACCAGGCTAGACGACATACTCTAAAACAAACAGGAGTTTCACAATAAATCTGAAAAGGTCGCGGTGGACAAGGACAAACAACGTCAAACTCATAATCTAATCTAATCTACCTACATGAAAAAATCATCATAATTATATTACTAAAAAAATATACCTACATATTTACGTATTTTTTTAACATACTACTCTGACAATACTGGTAAGTTTAAAACTCTACGCCACTGGCGAGCATATTATGGACACTGTTTACAACGTTGTCAGCCGGTCATAAGAGATCTTTCTCTCTTCCACCCACTAACAATTTTAAAACAATAACAGTCCGCAATTGTATGGGATTTATGAATGAAACATTTTGTTTATATGTTGTAATGTCTTTGTGGAAAACCATTCAGCTATGTAGTAATAATCAAAGAATGTGTAATTGCAGAAGCCGAAGAAATGTGTCCCGAAAAGGTAAATTTATTTAAAACTATCAGTTTGTCAGCAAACACCGTTGCTCGGAGGGTACAAGACATCGCAGAAAATATATCATCTTAACTGTCTCACAAAAATAGACATCTTGAGTGGTTTTCTCTGGCCATGGATGAATTCACGGATGTGTCAGATACTACTCAGGTGTTGATTTTAAATCGAGGAGTACTGGGGAAAATATTATTAATTAAACTGGTACATATAACTTCCATCAACTTGTACTACAATATCCCAGAAAACTTTCAAAATTGGCTGAGAATCATTTTTATATGTATTTGTTCCCCAACAATCTGTATCAAAGGTTATACGTTTAAAAGGTAATTGAAATACTTATTAAGTCATACTAATTTTTGTTTAAGGTCAAACAACAGGTGGTGTTTATGAAATCAATCGATCTGGTGGGCCAAAAATTAGTAATGATAATGATAATTAAATTGATATAGTTGCAGAAGTGGTAGTAAACAGGGTATTGACCAAAAACAAATTTCACATATAACAATGACGATCTCGTCCATAGACTGTAATTATCTGAAAATATGTACACGTTAATAAAAATCCTATTTCTGTTAAATTTTAAATCTAATATAAAGTGTCATAAATAAATTCAAATTGTCCATTTTTTATTATTTTATCATTAAATGGTCTCAAATTCATGTTCGTACTACTGAGAAAACATCGATTTTGCTGAGTCAAGAAGAATATTCAACAATGTTCCAGGCTGAACTAATAGTCATAAAATACTGTGAAAAAGAAATAATAAATCAGCAGGTATCAGACAAAACTATTACCATTTATTCTAAAAGCCAAGCAGCTCTAAAGGTTATTCTCTCATCAGGGGCCCTATTCTCGAATGTCTATTAAAAATGTCGCATTCGTTATAATGTCTACTACTAATGTCTATCAAAATGTCGATCGACTGACACTATCCGTATTCTCAAAGACAAATAGACATTTTAAAATCGGTGACATATTTGGCAAATGGTAACATCTGACAACATTGGATAGAAACATACAATACGAGTATATTACAGCAGACAATTACTTGAAGAATCTCTTAGTAATACAAAATAATACTGAAAATACATCCAGAATATATATCTTTTTAATAAATACTAATTAGAAAGTAGAGAAAATATAAATATAATCTTATTAACTGAAATTTAATGATAGATTAAATAGAAAATTGGAAGTGCTATTTGATAAGAGAATAAACAGGAAGAAGAAGAAGAAATATATTATTGTAATACAATCTAAACATTACATAAAATGTCTGTGATATAATCTTTTTACCGGCAATTTGAAAAAATAGAGCTATATAAATTTCTTAATGACAGGTTTTAAATCTCTTGGACAAACAGGAGCAGTGTCGAATCGGGACTTCCAGTGCCTACCGGTCAGAACGGAGAAGGCCCACCTAGCAAAAAAGGCCTTCTTTGCACATTGATGCTTTTTTCAAGGGTTATTTCGCATTTCTTATTCTCAAGGGCACACAGACTGAGGTCCACTACCTTAGGCCCACTAAATGAGGCCCACTGCCCAAACGAGGGCCCACTGCCTGAAAGAGGGCCCACAGCTTGAACGAAGGCCTACCGGTCTTTTGCCTGTAGACCAACGGCCCAATCCGACACTGAACAGGACTAATAATTGATAAATTAGGTGAAATTTTAAATAACCATTTCATATATTTTTAAAAACAATTTGTACAATACTTATTTTCATTTTTCTTAAAAATAAATATAAACTGTCATTGTCACGACATTCATTATAACATCATATTTAAAAAGGCATGCGACATTACAATGTCGACTGGTTGTATACCACTCGACTTTATGTCTAACAACAAATGTCGAATTCGCCATTCCAGAATACGTTTTTGCGTTCTTATTCGACATTTCTTCAATGTCGCGTGTGACATTTAGAAATAGACATTCTAGAATAGGGCCCCAGAAATCAAATCACGACTGATGATGCCTAAAAGATCTGGCGAATTAAGTAATCAAAACAAAGTGACACTAGCCTGCGTGCCAAGCCACGAGGGATATTAGGGTAACGAATTAGTCCGAAAAGGTTCCGATAAGGCCATGATATCTTCTGAGGAGTTACTAAGGCATTGTACAAGGCATCCATCAAACAATGGATAAAAAAGAATTAGGAATTGTGGAACCAGTATGCAAGACTGAGACATTTCAAACAGTTTATCAAGGAACC